CATTGTTTCATTGCACGGGTTAGCCAATGGGGGTGAAGCCTTCATCTCAGGGTGGTTTCAGCCTCCTCCAATCTCCCCTGATACTTGGGGTGGGAGGAGGAGGGGCCCTTCACACTCTTCTCCTACAGCTTCGGCATACACACAAGACAGCTGAACACAGCGAGGTGGGGCACGTGAGAACGGGGGGGGGGGGGTGGTTGCAGCGGGGGTGGAAGGGAAGGGACGGCTGTGTGGGTGGTTTGGGATTTGGAGAGTAAAAGCACTTTGGTAAGGTCCCCTGCCATGTGTGATGTGTGTGCCAGTCGCGCTCTGTGGGCCGTGGGCACGACAGCAGCAAACAGGTGTTGGGAATAAGCAGCTGAAGGAACCCCTGTGCTCCCCTTTGCACGCAGCGCACCGCGCGTCTGCCGTGCGTGCCCGAAGAAGTTTGATCGCTCGGCAGTGGCTCGGGTCAAGACCCAGGATTATCTTGGGGGGTCGGGTGGTGGTGGGGGTGGAAATAAATTACGAAGAAAATGCACATTTGATATGTAAATATCATTGCAACTGTTGTAAATTCCAATGATGTTCAGTTTACGCCCTATCTCCCTCTGTATCCTATCATATTTTGGAGAGTCTATGATCTCAAACATATGATCATATGTCTGTAGAAATACAATGCTGTACCTTCATGTTTGTTTCGCAATTGTGGAGTGCAAATTATTATATGTATATTAGCAATTGTCATCCTACACATTTAAACTATAACTCTTAGAATAATAACATTATCTCAATTTATGTTTTGAGGAAGTTTCCTTACAAAGTTTATAAAACATTAATGTGAAATATTGTATATTTAGGAATGCAGGTATTTGTCAACGAAAATATGATTACGTACATTACTTTGAACGTTGAATACGAGTCTTTTTTTTATCTGACCTGGCATATCCGTTGTCTTGTCCCCAAGAAGGCAAACTGCGGTCAGCGAGGCATTGAAAACAAATACATGCCAGCGTTGAAGGCAGCAATTATGCACACACGTTTCTATTTGCCTCGCACAGCTATAAACCTTTCAGAAGCATGTATAAAATTAGTTATTTGCTTATACCGTCCTGTTGCCAATAAACGACTAACGTTAGGGTTAGAGTTGGTGTGAGGGTTAGAGTTCGTGAGGGTTAGAGTTGGTGTGAGGGTTAGAGTTGGTGTGAGGGTTAGAGTTGGTGTGAGGGTTAGAGTTGGTGTGAGGGTTAGAGTTGGTGTGAGGGTTAGACTTTGTGTGAGGGTTAGAGTTCGTGAGGGTTAGAGTTCATGTGAGGGTTAGAGTTGGTGTGAGGGTTGGAGTTGGTGTGAGGGTTAGAGTTCGCGTGAGGGTTAGAGTTGGTGTGAGGGTTAGAGTTGGTGTGAGGGTTGGAGTTGGTGTGAGGGTTAGAGTTGGTGTGAGGGTTGGAGTTGGTGTGAGGGTTAGAGTTGGTGTGAGGGTTAGAGTTGGTGTGAGGGTTAGAGTTGGTGTGAGGGTTAGAGTTGGTGTGAGGGTTGGAGTTGGTGTGAGGGTTAGAGTTAATGTGAGGGTTGGAGTTGGTGTGAGGGTTAGAGTTGGTGTGAGGGTTGGAGTTGGTGTGAGGGTTAGAGTTGGTGTGAGGGTTGGAGTTGGTGTGAGGGTTAGAGTTGGTGTGAGGGTTAGAGTTGGTGTGAGGGTTGGAGTTGGTGTGAGGGTTAGAGTTGGTGTGAGGGTTAAAGTTGGTGTGAGGGTTAGAGTTGGTGTGAGGGCTGGAGTTGGTGTGAGGGTTAGAGTTGGTGTGAGGGTTAGAGTTGGTGTGAGGGTTAGAGTTCATGTGAGGGTTAGAGTTCGCGTGAGGGTTAGAGTTCACGTGAGAGTTCCGTGCCGGGCAAGGTTATGAGCATGAGATTGGTGATGTTCCCTTGAAGCCTTATCTCCTCGTGGCCACATGACTAATATTGTGCTCATCACAAAATACCCACGATCGTGGAAAAACATGAAAGGAAATGCTTCCTGCTGAGGTCATGAGTAAATTTACGCACTCGAGTTTGTCACCTTTATTGTGGAATGGGAACTTTCTGCCTACACTATGTAAATAATGCATACAACAATATGCTGAATCTTGACTTAAAACTTTCGTGACTGCAGGAATTCATATTCTTTTGCTCCTTCGGTAAAGTCACGTAGATTAATTCAAGTCAATAAAAAGTAAAATAAAAATAAAACAAATTAATACATTAATTTTAAAATATTTAAAAATACCTTTTTTATTTGAACCTATCTACGTGATATCCTCCATTACAAATTACAGCCCTTTGTCATTCCACTGCTGGATGAAGGCCCCCCCACGGTCTCAGTTATGGTTGTCATTCGACCATACTTTACCGCGGTAATCAGTGTGGGTTTCTAACGAGGGTTGACCTCTACTGGTTCAGATGCAACTCGCCCCGGATGTCACCCGTGACCGGTCATTGAGCTCAGCTTGCCGGGTTCATAGTCCACTGCGCTGCTCGCCACTACGCTGTCGCTTCACCGCCAGTTTGTTTAGAGATTCCTTAAAATTAGCAACGCTTAAGTCACACGCGCAGCAAAACCACGAGGTTGCCTTTGCAGCGCAACTGATCTACAGGGTGTCCTTGAAAGATATTGTTCGTGAAATAATTTATAATTAGACAGTAGCCCCCGAATGGCATGGTTGAATTATGGGATTAGGTTAAAGATAAAGTGTGTTTATAAAAAAAACATGCAAATAGCTTGAGTGATCTTGAACAGCGCATAGCATTAGCATTAAACAAATCTCAGCCGAGATGCTGGTGAACATCTCAATTACGATGATACTACGGCGGGCACGTGGCACGTGGGGGTTTAAATGTTCACGCTGCCAAGTGCGAGTGTGTGTATAGCGCTATTGACGGAGTTAATAACCACTGTCTACTTATAATAAAAAAAAATGGACAATACCTTTATAAGACATTTATTTTTGTCACATCGGTGTGACCACATGAATTTCGAAACGTACAAAAAGACTGAAACATGTACGCATTGTGTGCAGTTAAAATAAGCCTAGCTCAAACTGCCTTCTAATTATAATCATTTTATAATGGACGAGAGCTTGATGATCACCCTGTACTTGGCGACATTGTTGTCCACGGGAAATGTAATACATCGAAAGCCACCATCAGAGGTTGGACACTCATGCACAATGCGGTGCGATCATTATTAACGTAATACCCCTCGCAACTTCCACGCACGCGTATTTCCGCATGCACAAAGAGAAATGCCTCCCCCCTTCCCCAGAACCGTCTGCACGCCTCGGGAGACGATACTTCTCTCTGAGATCAGAAGCTCAGTGCCGTCACCCCAGTTTAGCATTTCCGCCTTCCGGCATCAATAATGCAGAGACACGGTCCACGTGTGAGGGAGTCAGCCCGAGAAATGATCTTGACAGACGTCGACCCGCGTTGAAATGCGTCTCGACAGCGAGTAGCCCGGCACGACAAAACGTCGCTGCAAGCGTCGTTTTCTGCGGAATTTGTTGTTGTTGTTGTCAGTCGGGAAGACTTAAGTGCTGTGATCAGAGCCCGAGAGGAGCTCGCGTAAAAAGATGGGAGCTCAATTATTTTTTTTAAACCCAGCCCTTTCATTTTTCATCGCGCTGAAAAAAAAAGATTTGTGGAGCAAACGTTGTGCCAGCTGCTGCCCGAGCTGCATTCGTGGTTGTGGCAGCCGATGTGAGGTGACGTTGGTAAATACGATTATCGGATGAGTGGGTATATCTGTGCTTCATCACACATTGTGCCTCCTCTGTAGGTACACACAGTACATTGGTTTAACATTGAGGAGCTTTTATTAGCACATGCGTGTTATAACGGGTTCTACGTGTGTGGAGAAGGAACGGTCGTTTTGCAGTTAGCGCGCTGCGCTACGAACCCGGAGACCCGAAATTTATTCCCGTTCACAGCCAACATCGGTGACGAATATCTGAACCGGTTCTGGGCCTCCTCTAAGTCGACTTAGCCTCAAATAAGTACCTGATTTGGTGAGTAAATATCGCCAATTGTGGAGGCAAAGCGTGTGTTGCTGGCCACCCACCCCCTCGCTAATGGAACTTGTTCCAAAAGTCTGTTTAGGCTATGCGGAGGATCTTTAACTTAGGAATTTTACGCGAGTTTTTATTCTAATTGAGAAAGATCTTTTACATTACATTATTAGAGATGCTCCCAAAAATGTGTGCAAATTAAATGAAACGTTCATGCAAATATAATACGAACACATCTTGCATGTTAAAATTGTATAACCATAGGCAAAACAACTTTATTTAAAACTTGAGTAATACATATTTGCATGCTTCTCCCAGACCACTCCACCAATGTCAATGAAGGAGAAGTCGTTTTAAAGCTCAGACTATGCATTTTCAGCAAATGTTGTCACCGTTTCTAAATATTATTGATATGGCTCACGGGTCTTAACACTGCGTATCCGGGCACTCTCCCACTTACAGTGGCCCAGAGCATGCTGAGTGAGGGTCAGGTGAGTGGTGAATGTCTGACGAGGGTGATGCGAGTGGCACGTCACCTCACCCGCAGGACATGCTGCCCACGAGCAAATCTTACAATGGCTGAGACAGAACACGGGACAATGGGGCCTGCAATGCAAAAACGCTGGAATGCCTCCGTCGAACAATCGCTAATTTTATTTTACCAGGTAAGGCCCACTGAGCAGGAAAGCTCTTTTTCAGAAGCTGCCTAGTCTTAAATGATAGCCCAACGAAGTGGCTTATCATGTGGAAATTTATAGCAGCCAAATACTCTAATCGCACGTTTCGAAATGTGGAAGGCTCAGAGAAAAATCCACGTGACCACTAGGAGAACAAGCAAACTTCAAATATACAGGCATCAGAGTCGGGATCGAACCCATGGCCTGTATACCAGGCGAGGTAGTTAACATCTCACCACCGTGACACCCACTAACCCTCGCATCGCTCGCCTCGCGTGCCTTCCCTCCCGATTCCGCGCACGTGCAGACTCCGGCCACCGCTCCATGGCGTTGTCCCCCGACGCGCTGTGCTGCGACACGGCCGTGCGTCCCGTGCGCAAGCGCGGCTCCCAGCAGCACCCGGCGTCGGCGGTCACGACCACCTCCTCGTCCGCCTCTTCTGCCGCGGCGGCCGCGGCGGCGGCCGCGTCGGCCGCCGCCTCCTCCTCGGCCGGCACCGCGGCGCCGTACGGTCAGCTGCTTTTCCACCCGCGCGCGAAGGGCCGCAACGTGACGCTGGACGGCGGGCGGACGCGCGCCACCCGGCGCCACAGCTTCTGCCACGGCGTCGCCTTCGGCCACCGGCCGCTGCGGCCGTGCGAGCGCGTGCGCCTGCGCTTCACGGCGACGGCGCCCGGCTGGAGCGGCGCGCTGCGCTTCGGCTTCACGAGCCGGGACCCCGGCACGCTCGACTCGGCGCGCATCCCTCGCTACGCGTGCCCCGACCTGGCGGCGCGCCCGGGCTACTGGGCCAAGGCGCTGCCCGAGAGCTGCGCGGGACGCGGCTCCGCGCTCGAGTTCTGGGCCGAGGCGGACGGGCGCGCCTTCTACCGCGTCGACGCGGGCGAGGCCGTGCCGTTCCTGCGCGGGGTCGACGCCGCCGGCCCGCTGTGGGCGCTCATCGACGTGTACGGAGTCACGCAGCAGGTGACGCTGCTCGGTGAGTAGTGTCCCACCGCGGTCGCGCGCGGTCGGTTCGAGCCGCGGCGTTCTCGGCGCGTGTTTTGTGCACGGACGGGAGCGGTGGTGGTGATGACCCGCGGCTGATGCGCTGTGCTAGGATAGAGGCTTGTTTGGACGAGCACGGTTGAATACGTGTGGTGCGAAAAAAAGTTCAACCTACACACGTGCTAAGGATGGCCGATCTGGGTGACGTGCGTTTTGATGAAGCAAAGTGGATTCACTGGGGTTGAAACGACCCGTGGATTTTGTCCATTGAAAAATCGAGTCTCGTGCTGATGATATACACTGCATTAACTTGTGCATATGGTAATCGGTCACGGACTATTTTCTGAAACAAAGAAAACCAACGAACTTCACAAGCGAGGCAAAAAATAGGAACTGATTCGTTGATTCGAATTGCGAACCCGAATTGTGACAATTTGCCGGTTGTCTGCGAGAGCGCGAGGTGCTGAGCGGTGACTATGAGGCAGGATATTGGGACTGTAATGGGATCACGTGCATGACACTCTCGCCTGTAGGAGCATTGATGCTTTCCTGGGCCAATAGCGATGTAAACAAGGGCAGACCCACTTTCAGGTTTAAAACTTTTGGATCTTAACAACAAGATATAATTTGAACAATAGGAATGCCCAAGCCGTCCCTTTCATGTTGAGCATCTGTATGGCTATATCCTTGCAGGGGTTTTATATAATTGTGTAATGACTACAGTGTCTAGATTGCCCCATGATGTATTTTCCATCTTAACCTGCATTCGCACACATTTGCTTAGATGTACACAACAATTTTTGTTTACATGTACGCTAGCACCCATGACCGATTGGGGAGGATTTTTCAAGACTGTAGGATTATCCAAATCGTGGCTCGAAGCCACGATTTGCATTATCAGAAGTGAAAAATTGCTTCTGATTATGAAAAAAAAATTTTGATAAAAAACGTAAAGTAACAAATGCCAGGATCATCACGCGAGCCACGTTGGCTCAAACTCGAATCGCACAAACACTTACATCATGGCCAAGTGTCGCGTATCAGAGGCTCTCTGCAATGTGGTGTGATTATGCGAGGCGGAGAAAAGCCACCGTTGACCAAGAGACATTTAAGGGCGAGCCGAGCGATAGCGACGAGGGCTGCATAACTTCATCCCCGTCGCCCGCTCTGCTTCCATGCAGCGACACTTGGTCATCGTCACCTCTTTAATCCGGCCATATTTGTCCCATTTTAAGCGGTTCCGATTAGGCAGGTGTGGTGTTCAACGGGAGGTAATTTGTACCACCGAGCCAGCTTTTGTTTCTGCCAAATTTGAGCCGGCAAGGTTCAAAGCGCGAACTCTGCGCTGCATGCGCAGCTTGAAAGCGGATTTGTAAAACATATATACGGCATATACGGCCATTGTTCGATCACACACGAGATGGAACTGCAGTATTTTGGAAACAGCTGTAGGTGTGATGGGGGAAACCTGTAGAAACTGTTGATGATTGGTTGAGTGGAAGGAAAAAAGAGCAGATGTCGACAGACTAAGTTTCTATGCGTAGTTTTGTGGATTTAACGGGGAGGACAGTTATACCAACATTAAAGCAAAGCTCAAAATTGCAGATAGATCATGGACACTCAGTAATGAGTAGAGCGACGAAGAGTAGAGTTCTTTCACACATCTCATACTCATTTATTATTTTCCGAAAATTGGCAGTGAATATTTTTACCGGTGAAATCTCAGAGTTGGATTTCTAATCTTTCGGCTGCAAAGTGCACGAGTCATTGTCAGCTCAATCCGAGGCTGTTGGGCAGATGGATGCATGGGGTCTGGGTATCAACACCACTGGGTTCTGTACCTTAAGCAGCCTCCCCATGTCAGCTGATGTCATTTTGAAAGGCCCTTGTTTATCCATTACCAGGGTCAGGTGCCTCCAGCCAGATTTATACTTTGCCAAGTGTCCCCAAAATAAATCTTATCAGTTGCTGACGTTTTTTTGCCCCACGCTCAATAATTGTAAAATATATAAAAACTTTGGGGTGGTAGCATCGAGCCCCAGTGACCCGAGTTCGATTCACAGCAACGACAAAAACCAGCGGCGAGTGATATGTGAACTCGCCATTGGTCCAACCTTCCCCAACCCACGTTGACCAGAGTGATGAAGAATGGTCAAACAATCCCCACCATTCACACAGCATGTACAATGGTAGATTGACAGAGGGCTGTATATCATTATTATAATATAAAAATGATATTGCATCGCACATGCTTGGAAAAATGAATTCAACCGAGATGTGCTACGTTTGAAGAGTACACAGGCAGAGTGCATCCAATTTTAACTGATGAATGTAAATAACGCGAGTGCCTCCAAATTACCCCTAGAGGCAAATAAACAGGTAATAATAGCTCGTGGCCGTATAGTCTGCGGCGTATACCTTCGACAGCCCAAGTCTATTGTCCATCATCCACAATCAGCTGTGACGCCGGGGTGATGGTGAATGAATGTGGCTCCTTGTCCTGCCGAACAACGCGCTGCCTTGTAAAACCAACACGCGGGGTCCCTAACAGCTGCCAGGTCCCAGGGCACTTGACAGCCCACCAGATGAACGTCTCCCGAGACCGCATCTGTGGCTTTTAACCCCCCACCCCCCTACCCAACGTCATCCTCATCACCAGCAGCACCCGCTCCGTCACAACTCCCACTCCCGACACAACCGCACATCTAATCGAGTGGCTCAGTCAAAGCCTAAACATTCCCTCTTTTTTTCTTTCTTCCTGCGGTGCCCTTGCACAAGTTGTTGGAAATCTGATCGTTTGAAGTGGGCCTCCAGACGGAACATGGACATGTTTGAGAAGAGGCAGTCGAATTCACTCGTTCCGCCATCAAAACATGACCATTGGTTGTTCTGTCCGAGGTCATATCGGAGCTTGAATGCAGTATTTAGATGTATTCGAAGCAAGGAACCATCGAGGGTGGTTGGAGAATAATTGCCTCCAAAGTGGACAACTTGATCACATTCTCGTCAAGGAGCGTAAACCATCACGCGAACTCCGGTCATCCTGGCAGCAGCGGCTTTTGGCTGACCATCGAACAAAGACGGCCACTGCATCGTGAGCTTTCAGATGCACTTAAGCTGCCGTCTGGAACGCTCTTCCTTCCGATATTAGGAAGTCACTGGAGCTTTGCTTTCTTATACTACATTGAAAATTAATTTCTTTAGAACTGCTTTTTGCGTTTAGTTTGTTGTCCTTCCCCGCTCCTCCGATTAGTAGTTGGCTACGTACAGTGTGGAAGAAGATCAACATACATACATTATTTTGGCCAGTCCATCAGTGGGTTTATTGCTTCCATCTCCATGTCCCCAAGACGTCTGGTCAGTGTGGAAGAATAGACCAAAATACCCTCTAGAGTGTCTCTGGAGCTTCCTCGAGCGACAGCCCATCTGCCAGCGGTGGCTTAAAGCAAGCAAGCGCTGGGCTTCCCCTTTTACCTTCACGTCTCTCCTGCGTCCCCGTCTGGGAGGCCGTGTGTCCATGGGGGGAGCAAGGTAGGGCGAGGGCTCTCCAGTGTTATCCGTGCGTTGCACATTGTCGCCGGTGCATCAATTCACGCGGGCACACTCGCGCTCGGTCGTCAAACTGTCTCTGGCGGCGGTGGTGCTGGTGGTTATCACGAAGCCCCCCTCCCCCGCCCCAAGAGCCCTCATCGATGTAGGAGTCTTTGCTTTCTTTTCGATTGAAAGCATCGGTGCAATGTAGAGCTCACAGAATGTACCGTTTTGTGAGGGGAGGGGGGAATGCATCGTAGAACATATCCCTTAGAAGTTGCTTTCCTGGCGCTTTACACCAGAGCTCATTTTTTTTAAGCACATTATATTGCCTGTGGTTCATATTAAGGTGCGTGTTATCCATTATTATGTCAACTTTTTAGGAGTTATTTTCATTAAAAAGCACAATGTACAGTCCACCTTGCTTCCCTCTCCCCCCCCCCCTTATCCCCAAGCCACCAGCATCTTTGCCAACTTAGCCGAGCGTGATTATCCCCGCAGGGAAATCTGCTGCAGCGTTTTTATATCTAAATTAATTACCACATACATCATTGCAGATATTTAATAGGCCGGCCTCTCTGTGTTCCGGAAACATGTTGGACAGAGTTCCAAGCAGACAAATCAAAGTGAGCCCATTTATAACAATTTCAATCTGTAACGTGCCCCATAGTATTCTCTGAGTCCCTTGGAGAGAGAATGACTCAGAGTTGTGAGGAGGAAGGCAGCCAATTGATGAGCCAGCACCAACAATTACCCAAGCTCTGCATTTCTCTATATATCAAGGCGTTATCGACCAATTAATGAGTGTTTACATGCAGGAGAAATCCGGAGCAGCCGGAAAAATCCCCAGGCATGCAACGGGGAGGGGAAACGCTTTATTCGATACAAGGGATCATGCTAGAATTCACATTCATTTACGCTATCCCTTTGCCCATGATGCTATTCTATATTCTCTGCCGCACGTACGCACCGTGACGTAAGCGTACTTATAATCACGCCGCGCCGTTTGCGTGATTAATTATCTAGGGTCCGGGGTTCCCAATCCATCGTAGCTAATTTTTTGCTTTTTTTTGTCACCATATAATTATATTGTTGTCTTCAAGGCACTCGAAGGACCATGTTTCAGGGAGCTGTAAACGTCGGCGCTTTGAACGCGCTGTCAATTGGCCGCACGCGCGAAGAAGGGCGGCCGAGTGTCAACGGCACTGTCGCACGTATCCCTTTGCTACTGCCTTTATGATTACTACTGCACAGCAACGCAAAAAGCCTCATGTTTTTTAAATCTTGTGGTCATACCATATTCTTCAGATTATAAGATGATGCGGGGAGTAAGAAGCACCTCAAGCATTCGCGCTAATTTTTTTTTTTAAGTATTTTTTTTTTATAATCTGGAGAATATGCTACTGCCATGGAGAGCCATCAGCTCAGAAGTCGATTTTGAATGCGCCGCTTTAAAATAAG